TATGGCCAGATCACAGAGGTATATACTAAGGCTCAATTCCAGTAAAAACAAAATCATACATACGCTGTGTTAGGACGATAAAGCGGGAGAGGTTGAGGCTTGTTGGAGACTTTAATGGAAGCACTGGGGCCAGAAAGTGACATAAAAAGACTGTTGTCCAACACCGCCAGAGATGTTGCAGCTGAATGGTATGCCTCATTATTGAACAAAAGAGTAAATACTGTTTTGTTTTTCTCAACTTCAATGGAAAATGCGATAATGGAGAAGTCACGGCACTCTTTATTTTCCAATATGTAATTCATTACATTACCTGGAATAAAGAGATTGGCCACTGAGTCAACATGTAGTAAATCACCTACTATTTATGTTGGAGAGAAAAGACGAAAATATCTCTTCCTGTCATCTCTTCTCTTTCCAATTCCTATAATGGCTATCTCAAAGCTTAATTTCTCCTGGATAATTCTACTCCATCAATAATGTCTACAATACTCTCATCATACAGTCTACTTGAAACTTGAAAAAACAGTAAATTACTATGCGTTTCTTGCTCTATTCTTGTCTAAAACATACTTTTATTTTTTCAAAATTGTCTTGGTTCTTCTAGGTCATTTGCATTTCCGTGAACATTGTATGACGGCCTTGTCCATTTCTGCAAAAAAAGTCTGCTGGAATTTTGATAGATTGCATTGAATCTATAGATCAGTTTGGGAAAATTTGCTACTCTAATAATATTCATTATTCCAGTCTGTGACACAGAGTATCTCTTTATGTATCTAGAACTTTAATTTTCCTGAGTAATATTTTAAATTTTCAGTGTATAAGTCTTGTGCTTCTTTTCTTAAATTTATTACTAGGTATTTTATTCTTTTTGATGCTTTTGAAGTTTTGGTAATCTGCGTCCCCTCCCTCCCTTCCTGCCCTTCTCCTGGGTTAGGAACCATTTCATCTAAGTTAGGTTTTAAAAATTCTTATCTGAAAAACCTTTGCCTTTTGATTTGATTGTTTACTCCATTCTTACTTTTCTTTTTAAGATTTATTTATTAATTTATTATTTTTTTAATGGAATTAACGGAGGATTGAACCTAGGACCTCAGTGTGCTAGGCACGTGCTCTACCACTGAGCTATTTCCCACTCACCTCCATTCATACTTAATGTAATTACTGATATGCTACAATTTATAGCTGACGTTTTGCTTTTTGTTTTCTGTTATGTCTTATCTTTTTGTTCCTGTTTCCCTACTGCTGCCTTTTTGTGTTAAATATATATATATATTTTATAGTCGACCAGTTAAATTCCTTTGTTGTTGCTGTTTTACTATTTTTAAAAGTTATTTTCTCAGTGATTGCTCTGGGGAATTACAATATGAATCCTAACTTAAAACAATCCAGTTTAGATGAATACCAGCTTACTTCCAATAGTGTATAGAAGTGTTGCTCCAACATAGCTCCCTTCCCTCCTCCCTCCTCTGTGCTGTTATCATAGAATACATTACACCTGTAAGCATTTTACACCCATTAACACAGTTTTGTAATTATTTTATGCATTGTCTTTTAAATCAGATATAAGAAAAGTTACAGTGTATATTTATACTGTTTTTTATATTTACATATATATTTATCTTTGTGTTCTTATTTCTTTGTATAGATCAGAGTTAGTCTAGTGTCTTTTTATTTCAGTCTGAAGAAATATTTTCAGTTATTTCTTAAAGGGAATGTCTACTGGTGATGAATTGTCTGTTTTTATTTATCTGGGAATGTTCTTATTTCTTTTTCATTTTTGAAGGTGAAATTGGAAGGATATGTATTTTTGGTTGCCCATTTTTTTCTTTTAGCACCAGTGCCATTCCACTGTTCTGACAAGCCTCCTTCTGACAAGTCAGCTGTTAATATTATTGAAAATCCCTGATGTAAGAAGTCATTTTCCACTTCTGCTTTCAAGATTTTCTCTTTTTACTTGACTTTCAACAGCTCACTTATATTGTTGTCTAGGTGTGAATATTTTTGAGTGTATCATACTTAGAATTCATTGAGCTTCTTGGAGGTGAAGATGAATGTTTTCCATAAATTTTGGGAATTTTTCTGGCATTATTTCTTCAAATATTTTTTCTGCCCCTTTATCACTCTCTTTACTTTCTGGTACTCCTTTTATGCATATGTTGGTATGCTTGATGTTGTTGTTGTTCCACATACCTCAGAAATTGTTTTTTCCCCCCACTTTTCTTCTTTTTGTTTCACCAACTGGATAATCTCTATTGACCTACCTTCAAGTTAGTTAATCCATTATTCTGCCAATTCAGATCCATCACTGAGCCTGTCTGGTGAAATTTTAATTTCAGTCATACTTTTCAACCACAGAATTTCCATTTCATATTTTAATTTATATTTATTAATTTCTCTTCTTGGAGAGATGAAGTTGTCATACTTTCCTTTATTCTTTAAACATATTTCCTTTAATACTTTGAAAATATTTGTAACAGCTGATTTATAGTCTTTGTCTACTAAGTAAGTTCAACATCTGGCCTCCTCCAAGTACAGTTCTACTGGCTTTCTTTCTCCCTGACTATGGGTCATACTCTTCTGTTTCTTTCTTTATTAGTTTTCTGGGACTGTCAAAACAAAGTACCACAGGCCGGGTGACTTAAACACCAGAAATTTATTTTCTCACATTTCTGGAGGCTAGAAGTCCAAGATCAAGGTTTTGGCAGGGTTGGTTTCTTCTGAAGCCTCTCTCCTGGGCTGATAAACGGCTTGCTTGCTCCTGTGTCATCAAATGGTCTTCCTATGTGTATACATATGTGTACTACTTTCATCCTGTTACGAGGACGCCAATCATGTTGGATGAAGATCCACTCTAATTATCTCATTTTAAGTTAATTACTTCTTTAAAGGTCTAATATCCAAATACAGTCACATTCTAAGAAACTGTGGCCTTGTACTTCAGCATATTAATTTTGGAGGTACACAGTTCAGCCCTAACTCTTTCTCTTCTCTTTCTTTTTTTTCTCTTCTCTTTCTGTTGTTGAAAATGGACATGCAAGATAGTGTAACAACTCTGGTATCTGAACTCCTCTCCGTACCCTTTGTTGGTTTTTACTGTTTTTTTTTTTTATTGTTGCTGCTCATTTTGTTAATGACTTACTGGACTAATTGTGTAGATTCTGTATTTTCTACAGTGTGCAGCCACATATTTCTCTGATGGACTTAAAAACACCCTGACTTTTTTATTTTTAAGCCTGACTCCTGGGGAGTCTGTCCTGAATCAGTATAATTTAGTACTCAGCTAAAAGATTTCTGTAAATGTCTAGAGTCAGTAAGTCTTCTATGCTTTGCCATGGGGATCTGTGCATGAGGGAACAGCTTCAAGTTTCAGACAGTTTACAAGTAAGCCTCAACTTTCATATCTTGCTTGT